ATATAATAATTATTATTGTAGATAAAATTTCAGCACTATACATATATTAAATTTTGTTTAAAGTCTTCAAGTTAAAATATACATTTTTATAAATATTATAAGTATTATATGTATGTATGTATATATAATGTATGTATGTATATATTAAAATTTACGACACACATAACAAACCTATATACATTCATACATATATACATGCATATATAGATATGCCCATCATGTATGTATATATGTATGCATCTATATATGTCTATAATAGGCATAAATATGTACGTACGTGCATACAGTTATTTACATATAAGTACGTCAAATATATATACATACATATATACATGCATAGATAGACATATGTACAGCCAGACTAATCTCCAAACATGCTATGATCGGCTCATTTGATGATGGTGACTCATGATGATATATGACCATAAAATTTTGTATATAAGATCGACCCCATCCTCTACTGGATACGCCATACTTTCTGGCCAAATCAACACACCCCGAGTTCCAGGAAATAAAGAGGATGAACATTATCTGGTTAATACTTTACTACGGACATATTGTGATTTCTATAATACTTAGCCTACATAGTGTACATCACTCAGTTTGTTTCATCGCTGCTGTCTAGCAATTGTTCGTCCTCTTTGAAGTCCTTGTCCTGGGCCGGTCCGCTGCCGCTACCGCCTCCCAGCTGGGCTAGAGCGCTGCGCACCGCATTCTCATAGTAATCGCAGCGAGCGGACAGATTGGAGCTGTCGCTGATGCTGGACACGATGCTGGATAGACTGGCACTCGACTCACTGGCATTGTTCTCCATGGAGGTGCTGCTCTGTGCATCCGACAATTGACGCCGACGCTGACTCTGCTGCTGCTGCTGCTGCTGCAGCGCATCGTACACATAGTTGTACTCGTAGGCGCCCTCCGGCCGGGCATGCAGCGGTATGGGGAAATTGTGGAGCACCTCACGGAACACCTCATATCGATCGCGCAACTCGGCGTCCACCTCCTCGTCGCGCCGCTCCTCGGCCTGCATCGAGTGCAACACGGAATACATAAACACACGATTGGCGATGTGACAGTCGGGCAAGAGGCTGCCCTCCACTCCCTGATTGGGGCACATGCCGCTCACCGGACGCAGCCCAGACACCACAATACAAGTATAATATCCAATGCAATGCAATACAATGCGATACAATGAATTTTTAACGGACAGCTTGCTAGCGTTTTTCACAGTTAGATTTTATTCGACTTTGTCTTTTTGAGCGAAAACAAAAACTTTAATTTAAAAACGAGCGCTTAATTTTTCATATATATTTATTTACTAAATCAACACAAAATAAACTGGGGCAGTTGAGTGTGGAAGCATTACATAATTATATTAATTTCTAAAGCATAGAACAATGCCAACTAAACGATCGAATAACACACACAATAAACAACAACCAGAAGCAAACAAACATTTAACACGGCTAATTAAGGCGGAAGTCATATTTGTATTGTACCCTTAACTATTATAGTATAGCATAAATTGTTGTTATTTGATAAATATAATAAAAACATAAACAAATATCAATTAAATTCAATTAAATCAAATGATGCCTTTGTAACCATTTCTATAGAAAGAAGTAAGAGTGCTGCTTACGTATACTCCTCGGTCTATCTTGGCTGAAATCGGATTCTCTGTGTAAGATGTTCTCTTAAATATTATAAAATCTCCAAATATCTTCGAGCCACTTTAAATTTAAAATTTCCTATATTTATCTTCTTAATACAGTTTATTACTATTCATTTATTGCAAACTATGGTAAATTTGTATTACAAATAGTCAATATACTGTTTTGATTATCTAAAAACTTTTACTCTCAGATCTCTGATCGAGTGCGCGCCGAATGCATTTTAAATAAAATAACAGAGAAGTGACGTCTTAACAGAATTACCACTTTACAAAAAAGGTAACCAGAAGCCGTCTTTGCGTGAGCAACTTAGTCTCTGAAGAGATGTCCAACGGGCCTTCTTAAATTATTAAGGGCTCTTGTACTCTCTCAACGAAACTATACGATACTGCAGTGCACGATTGATACATACTGTTAGTTAACATTAAAAGCAAGGAGCCTGTGCTTTCCCTAACATACCCAGTCTCTTAACAGTGCATAATAAGGTGCAATGTTGCGAAATGTCCCACAAGACACAAATTTCCCCTTTACTCTTTCTTAATGCTCTCATGTACATGTATATTGAGTGTCGATTGAGTGAGTGTCCTTTTCACTGGTAAATGCGTATGTATTCACAAGCAATACTGCTGGCACATCGAAGTGTCCATTTTTATCATATACATACATGCATATGTATTTCATGGTATGATTACAAATGTATGAATGCAAACACTACATACATATATGTATGCATATATTTTTTTATTTTTTGCCATTTCTCTAATGCTATTAAAAAAAAGTACCGTTAACAGTTAAATGATATCTCTGTTGATATGATGGCTCATAATTGTGCCTAAACTGCCATAAAATTGTCGAAAATAACTAAATTATACAGCGTGTCGGCATTTTTGAGTACTTAAATTTATTATACTTTAAACTTTATTTGAAATACAGAATGTAAAATGGTTGTGTGTATGAACATATATAATATTAATATCGAATTGAAATGAATTAATTATAACAACGAAAAAAACAGAGAGTAAGTGAAAAATTAATGCAAATAAAAATGCAGCTCAAAAATAACTACTAGAAAACAATTTCGAAAACAAAACAGTAATTTTTAACTGAAAAACCGAAAGAAAAAAAATAAATATGTGTATATGCATGAAATTATGCATGTTGTGTGGGCTTAAACATTTAGAAAGACTGTAATAGGGCAATGATCGCTGCCCATGCATTGGCTGCGCATCACATTGTCCACGACGCGTGAAACAAAGCGCTCGGAGACGATGCAATAATCCAAACGCCAGCCGACGTTACGGGCACGCGCATTGGACATATAGGTCCAGAAGGTGTAGGCACCAGTATGCTTGGGGTACAGGTGCCTGAAGGTGTCTACATAGCCAAGGGCCAGCAATTCAGACATCTTTTCGCGCTCCTCCTTGGTGAAGCCGGCGTTTCGTGTATTTGTCTTTGGATTAGCCAAATCGATCTCGGTGTGCGAAACATTCATATCGCCACAAATGACAACTGGTTTGAGGGCATCCAATTTCTGGACATATGCCTGAAATAGTTGCTCCCAGCGCATACGCATTTCCAGGTTAACCAGCTTACGTCCCGAGTTTGGCACATAGACATTGATCAAATAAAATTTCTCATATTCGGCGGTGATCATGCGACCCACATCGTCGAATTCCTTGTTGCCAATGCCGTACTCCACATTAATGGGCATTATTTTGCTGTAGATGGCGACGCCTGCATACCCACCTGGCATGCACAGCCAATACGGATGGTAGCCGGGCAGTCGCTCCATCTCCTCCGGTAGCTGATCATTAGCGCATTTTGTTTCCTAAGAGTGAAAACATTTGGCATATTGAATACTTGGTTGGCTTTTTTTTTAAATATTTATAGTACTGCATACCTGCAAGCAGAATATATCCGGCTGCTCAAACTCCACAAATCGTAATCCATCTTTCTTTAACCAGGCACGCAGACCAGCCACATTCCAGCTAGAGATTTTCAAATTGAATGCCTGATCCGTTGGCGATGTGAAATGACTTTTATCATAGGCCTCCACCTTTAGGGTTGGTTGCTTTTTGGCCTTGGACGCTGGAAGACAAAAGTTGAGCACATTTTGCAAACTTTTCAATACTGCAGTGCCACAGCCGGGCTCCGTCAACGTACTTCTTGAGCCATCACCTTCATCGACTGCAATGGAGTCAGCGTCCTCCTCGGCAACAGCAGCAGCTCGCTTGCGGCCGCGTGCTGTGGAGTCGAAATTAATGAAGAAGTTTAATCATTATAATCTGACAACCCGACTGCTTACCTGGCTTGCTCTCTGGCACATTCTCTTCTTCATCTAGTTTGCCGTTGACTTTCTTTAGACCACGCTTCTTAGTAGCTGCTGGCGCTTCAACACTGGCCACCTCCTGCTGTGGCTCATCAGCTGCTGCCTTCTTGCCGCGTTTCTTTGCAGGAGCCTCAACATTTTCATTATTGACCTTTGCTGATTTGACGCGTTTCTTGCTTGTGACCTGCGCTTCAGGTTCTGGTTCGTCGTCATCTGCTTCTACCAGCTCGGAAATTTCACTATCTGCCAAACGCTTTGTACCACGCACACGTTTAGCCGTTGTTGTTGCTGCTGCTACTACATCAATAGTTGTATCAACTTTTTTTGCCTTTCCCTTGGTGGCAATGTCAGTTAAAATCTTCTTAGCACGTCCCTTAGCTGGTTCCGGTTGCTTGTCTGCTTCAGCTGCACCGCTCTCCTTTTTCTCTGCCTCCCTTTTGCGACCGCGCGCTTTCGGCTCCTCCTCCTTGATCGCCAGCTCAATAGAAGCGGCCGTTTCGTTTAGGGGTGTTTTCAATTTCTTAGCCCGTCCCTTGCTTACTTCAGGCTCTTCGGCCGCTGGTGTTTTTTCTTTTTTCGCGCGCGGCTTTGTGGCTTTAGCTTTAGTCTTGGCCGCATCACTTACCTCTGTAGGCAATTTCTTAGCGCGTCCTTTTGGTTTGGGTGGCTCTGGATCCTCGACCACAGCAGCCTCCGCTTTTTCAGCTGGCTTCTTTCGGGCTCTGACTGCAGACTTCTTTACAACAACCTCCTTTTCCTCCCGTGCATCGTTCACATCGCCATCGGTCGTTTCATTTGCTGTTTTCTTGCCGCGCGCTTTGCTTTTAGCTGGTTGTTTAGTAACAGTGTCAATAATTGCGACCCCCTCCTCAGATGTTCCATCATTGCCATTTGTTGCTGACAAGTCTGATGCAGGCTGCTGTTTTGTTGCAGTTTTCGAGCGAGGCATGATAGTGCTGTTTTGTCTTCTTTACACACAGCTAGAGAAATTGCGTAGCTAAGAAATTGGATCGCAAAATCTATAGAAGCGTTGTTTTCGCTTTTTGCTTACTTTTAAAATGTGGGCAATACAAAAACAACTACCGACCATGAACTCTGCGCGGGCAATGGCAATGCCATCCCAAGCCGGTATAATATTTTGCCCGCGTGAAGCTGACAGTAAAATCATCGCTATTATCGATAGCACAAGCTATCAAAGCAAACAATTATTTCCCCGAAAAGGTATATGAATTATAAACACAAATTTAATTGTTCTATAGACTTTTGTTTTTACTGAGTTTTTTTTTGTTAATTTATTTTGGAGCTTTAAAGTTTAAATTTACTATATATCGATAACCCAAAACCAAACATTACGCAGGTCACAGTAACTGCACAATAGCTTTACTCAATATCGATTGTGTTATCGATTGTTTTTTTCTGTACTACCCGCTGCATCTTTTATTTAAGTTTTTTCCTATTAACAATTTGTTTTGTTAACAATTTACAGTGTTTTCAGTGTGATGTGCATGTAAATTTAACTGGGATAATAAATATTAAACGACAAAACGCACAAGTAGCTCAGATTTTTTGCAAAGACCCGCATCAGCAGGCATCATCGAAGCAGCATCTCGTAAAAATGCCAAGTGAAATAATTACGCTCCAGCTGGGGCAATGTGGAAATCAAAGTGAGTCCAATTTATGCCATTTGTTGAATATTTATAAATTCGTTCTGTATTTTACTTGAACGATATTTTAGTTGGCTTTGAGTTTTGGAAACGACTCTGCTTGGAACATGGAATCTCGCCTAGTGGGGTACTTGAAGAATTTGCCACCGATGGCATGGACAGGAAGGATGTGTTCTTCTATCAAGCGGATGATGATCACTATATACCGAGAGCCGTACTGCTTGACTTGGAGCCGCGCGTTATTAACACCATCATGACTTCTGCTTATTCCAAAGTAAGTAATGAGTAGAACCTTAAATTACTGAATTATTAAAACCTTATTTTTATTAGCTTTACAATCCAGAGAATGTTTACTTGTCGAAGCATGGTGGTGGCGCAGGCAATAATTGGGCATCTGGCTACAGCCAAGGCGATAAATTACAGGAGGAAATATTTGATATAATCGATCGCGAAGCTGATGGAAGTGATTCGCTTGAAGGCTTTGTGCTATGCCATTCGATTGCAGGAGGCACTGGTTCGGGCATGGGCTCATTTCTGATGGAACGCTTAGCGGATCGTTATCCCAAGAAACTTATCCAAACGTACAGCGTGTTTCCCAATCAAGACGAAATAAGCGATGTTGTAGTACAACCCTACAACTCAATGCTAACGCTACGACGTCTAACAACCGCTGCGGACAGTGTCGTTGTCCTGGATAATACGGCCTTAAATCGTATTGCTTGCGATCGATTGCATATACAGAATCCAACCTTTACGCAGATCAATACGCTAGTCTCCACCATAATGAGTGTTAGCACAACAACGCTACGCTATCCATCGTATATGAATAACAATCTCATTGGCCTAACGGCCCCCTTGATACCAACACCTCAGTTGCACTTCCTCATGACGGGCTACACACCGCTGACCAGCGACGCTAATCTTAGCAGTCAAGTAAATGTACTGCAATACTGCGCTTATTTTAAACCCGATTTAATGAATGCAACTTTTTTTTAGCATAATCCGTTGTCCTCGCACCAGCCTGTCAACGTGCGGAAGACAACTGTGTTGGATGTGATGCGGCGTCTGTTGCAGCCAAAGAACATGATGGTTTCGACTGGCCCCGACAAAACCAATCATCACTGTTATATCTCGATACTGAACATCATACAGGGCGAGGTGGATCCCACGCAAGTGCACAAATCATTGCAGCGTATACGGGAGCGCAAGTTGGCGCAGTTTATTCCATGGGGACCCACCTCAATACAGGTGGCATTGTCTCGCTCTTCGCCGTATGTACAAAGCAACCATCGTGTCTCGGGCTTGATGTTGGCCAATCACACGAGCATTTGCTCTTTATTTGAGCGCACTCTTAATCAATATGACAAGCTGCGGAAACGTGGCGCTTTTCTGGATCAATTTCGACGCGAGGATATCTTTAAGGATGATTTAACTGAATTGGACGAGTCCCGTGAGATTGTTGACGGCCTCGTACAGGAATATGAGGCGGCTACACGCATGGACTATTTGCAGTTTTCAACAACTCGGCGTGCTGACAGACTGGATGGGGTAGGGGATGCGAAATCCGAAGATACCAAGTCGTTAAACAGTGGTGATCTTTAGCCATATATTCTCCTTGTGCCGTTCACGTGCCATGATCAAAAAACGAAGTATTTTGCACCTACTCGAATATCCACTTCAATGTAATGTGTCATTATAAATTCTTAACACGAATGGATTTCAAATCCTTCAAGTATTTATATATTATAAATTGTTTGACTTTTCTTGTTTTAGTGTATTACTGTTTGTGAGTACACTGTTTAAAAAGTCAAAGATTGCACAATGATTTTTTTTCTTAATTACAATGTTTAAAAAGAAGATACTCTAATAAAGTTATTGTTAGGTGATTTCATTAAGCCTAATACAAGTTAACAAGAGGTGATTAATTTAGATGAAGGGCGACGCAGCTGTGAAATATTGATTATCTCATTTTTCACAATGATAACTCATATTTTGAAATATAAATAACGAGCTCTAACTTTGAAATTTTATAAAGTTCCGCTTGCCATCAAACCGTTTTCTTTTTTAATTAATTGGTGTGGTGAGTTGGAGTTTTGCGACTATCGAGTCTTTATAAATTGTGGTGGTTGGTCGATATTTCACAGTGCTTATATTTTGTTCGTGGGTGGATGGTTGCTCTTCATTTATATTTGCAATTGTTTAAAATAATTGTAAATGTTCAACGTTTTTAAAAAATTTCTATCATAAAGCCACGGTATAACTAAAGTGAATTTAATATTAAATTTAACTACGTTAAAATGTTAAAACAAATTTGGGAATCTCCTAATGCTTCGCAATAATTTGTTGTTATTATTACAATTTTTTCTAAGGGTCCTTCATTTACCTACGATTTCAATGGCGCCAAATATTGCTGTGGACAACCATCGTGAGCCGAGGGAGCCAATCTCGACATTCGCAGTGTTGGACTTGGAAACGTCGAATTTGCCTGAACATAGGAATAATCGTGTTAGCATCACGGAATTGTGCATCTACGCCTTTGATGCTGCTATTTTATTGAATAATACGCGCTCAAGTGACTCCAACCCAGCAGATGAACCGGTAATCAATGTACTGCCCTCGGCACCAAGAGTGATGCACAAGTTGAATCTACTATTCCAACCGTCAATGCTTGTGCTTCCGGAAGCAGAAATTATTACAGGTCAGCAGCATAAATGACTCATGCGGGAAATTCAAGTGACTGATAGTTTATTTATTTATTTATTATTTTCTTTGTGCCAATTTATCATTTTTTTCAGGCTTAAGCAACTACCTTTTGGAGCGGGAGTCAAAGCTGAATGAGAATGCAGGCGAACTTATTAAGAGGTTCCTGGAGCATCTGCCCCCTCCCGTATGTCTAGTTGCGCATAATGGCTGGCCATTTGATTTCCCCATTATTAAGCAGGCGCTTGGGAAGGTGAATATCAGTTTGCCAGCCTCAACACTTTGCGTTGATTCACTGAGCGCTTTCATGGCTATTGACGATAAGCGAAATGATAAGCCAGTTGTTGTTGTTGAGGAGAGTACTTTGCCAATTGAAACTAGAGGCGAGCTCGTTGATGCTGCTGACAATTCAACTGAGATAGCTGTTACCCCAAAGGAAATCAACTGGCAGGCACTAAACGAAAGCACGCCCAAGCGCCAAATTCTGAACCGTCAAGCTGCAGCACTTAAACGCCAGCACATGGACGTCGACGGCACGGAATTTCCAGCCATCAAGCGGTCATCCAACGATATAAAAGCACGACGTCAACTTTTTACTGGACTCAAAAGTTCCACCACAAAACGTTATCCACCCTGCGGTGTCTATGGTTTATCAAAAATGTATAGCCGTATATTCGAGCGACCGGCTGTCAATGCCCATGAAGCGGAGGCGGATGTCAGCATGCTCACTAAGCTCATTCAACACTACGGCGTAGATTTTCTTGCTTTTGCCGAGGAGCAATCCATTCCATTCGCAGATGTTGTGCCACTTGGTGGCAAGGCCCCAAATTCCACTAAATAATTAATTTTAAATTTTACAACGTAATACGTATGCATGCGTGCATGCATGCACGTGCATGCACGATAATCTTAATTTTAAGGAAAATTGTCTAATTGTTCAATTTTAATTGTTCTATTTTAAAATGCAATATATTTTTATATTCAATTTTTTTATTTTTGATAAATAATGCAAATCTGATCTGTGTTGCTTTCTTTGGGTGCGAAAAACATAAATGGGAATGTCAAGGCAGAAGTAACGCGAAATAAAATTGAACCAATTAACGCATATTTGAAAGTTTAGTATTTATTGCTCAGCTAAAAAAGTAATATATGCTCATAATCTATCGATACTTGTTGACTTGATATTTTGTACAGTCACAGGTATTTGAATATATCGATAGCACTCGTAAAACTGCCACAAATCAGCTGTTCCCAAACAAAGAATCAGAACAATTTACGTTGCGAAAAAACAGTATATATATTAGCGAGCAAAGATCAACATACAAGTGGAAGTAGCAAAAAAAAAAAGAAAGTTTAATATATCGACAGTTATTAGCGCACTGAACAAAAAAAAGAGAAAGAAAGTGAATTATGAATTTATCTTTCGCTGGTTGCGGTTTTCTGGGCATTTATCATGTCGGTGTGGCCGTGTGTTTTAAGAACTATGCGCCACATTTGCTGTTGGAGAAAATTGGAGGTGCATCTGCAGGCTCCCTGGCGGCATGTTGTCTGCTTTGCGATTTGCCCCTTGGCAGCATGACATCTGATTTTTTTCGAGTAGTGAACGAGGCTCGTCGTCACTCGCTTGGCCCCTTCAGTCCCTCGTTCAACATACAGACGTGTTTGCTCGAGGGTCTGCAGAAACACCTGCCCGAGGATGCACATTTGCGAGTGAATGGGCGGTTACATATTTCACTGACTAGCGTCTATGATGGCCAAAATGTTATAATTTCACAGTTCGAATCTCGCGAGGAGGTGCTGCAGGCCCTGCTCTGCGCATGTTTTATTCCAGGCTTCTCTGGCATTTTGCCTCCGAAATTTCGCGGTGTGCGCTATATGGACGGTGCCTTTTCAAACAACTTGCCCATTCTTGATGAGAACACCATTACAGTCAGCCCCTTCTGCGGCGAGAGCGACATTTGTCCACGGGACCAAAGCTCCCAGCTGTTTCACTTTAACTGGGCAAACACTAGCATTGAAATCTCCCGACAAAATGTCAATCGATTTGTTCGCATTCTGTTTCCCCCCCGCCCCGAGTTCCTATCGAAATTTTGCCAGCAAGGATTCGACGATGCCCTTCAGTTTCTTCACCGCAACAATCTAATCAACTGCAGACGCTGTATTGCTGTTCAATCGACTTTTGTTGTCTCCGAAACAGTTGCTCAGCCCCCAGAGTTCGACCCAGAGTGCCATGAATGCAAAAAGCATAGAAAAGTAAGTAGCAATGCAATTGTTTATATATATATACTCTGCTTAATAATTAATATGATTTMCTTATTGAATGTAATGCTATGCAGGACGCTTTGACATCAAACATGCCGCAAACTGTGCTGGACGTAATACAGGACTACATTGAGCAGGCAAACAAAGGATTGGCCAACTGGATCTTTAGGCATCGCGGCCTCAAGCTACTCTCGCTGCCAGCCACAGTGCCAATGGACTTTTTGCTGGCCACCGTATATAAAATCTCCAGTCTGACCCCGAAGCTAACTAAACAAATGCGACAAGTGGTTTCCCAGTTGCACAATGCAATTCAAACGCGCCTCTTTAGTAAATTCACGCTCTACGACACGCCACACTTTGATGCAACTGGATTGTTGCACTCAAGTCGCTTGTACGGACCGCGCGTCTCAATATTGGTCGATGAATGGTCTGTAGAATAGTGGATATTTCCGAGTTAATTGGCGTAAACTTTAGCTTTATATTTACAGCGGCGCCACCCCACTGAATGTCGATGTTGATAACTTTGAACATGTTCTTAAGATGAGCACGCATAATGATGCCCTCTACGCCTACTACTACACTGATAATAGCACCAATCACGTAAAAGTGACTGAAATATTTGACTTTGATGAAATGACGGAGCACGGTCAGCTGGCTACAGATTTGCAGCTCTACGAAGGCTCCGTCGAGGATCATCCAAATCCACGTCAGTCACACTCACATAATGCAGTTGTCAGCGAATGGAATGGTGTTGAATCCGGTTAGTATAGCACACGATCCTATTGGGTCACTAGCACGTCGACAATTCACCTCATCAGGATCCGTCCCCATTTACCCAAACATTTCTTACAGTGCAAATAATGCCCACAACACCCGTATTACACGATGTTGCATTTTAGTCATTCGAACACGCATTCACACACACACACCCACGTATTGGCTATAAAACATACAAAAGCTAAATTAAATGTTCATATCATTATCAGGTACATTTCATATATACTATTTAAGGTGCACTCATACTTTGAGCTTTTAATTAATTTCATATTTACTTCACAGACTTCTTCATAGACGCTCAAACGCCCAATACGACAGAAGAGCCCGAATCGCCGTACTTCCACGCGCTAAATATCGAAAACGATTCGGAAGAGACAAATGCTTCTTTGGCTAATCAGCATGCGGCTCAATCATCCATAAATAACACCGATTTATGTATAGAAATCGAATGAGCTCTCCTCACATGACAATCGAAACACGAATTTATAACGAATATAACGATTCCAAAGCGGCTCCTAGCAAAGCGAAGAGCCTTATTTAGCTTTCCGTTAGCTTTTAATACTTATATTATTGTAGTACGAAAGCGTATGTTTCTATGTATGTAATTATGTAATTTGTTTTACATATGCTCTTTGCTTCATCTAGTTTTCTTTGGGTTGCAGTTAGAGCACGTTATTAAACATTGTTTTATCCTTGGCTGTTTATTCGTATTTCAAATGGCTTGAGAACATCTATGTTTAATGTCTTCAATAATAAAAATGTACATCATTTAATCTAGTCATTCGTTTTTTATTTGCCCTAAATGAAGGCTGTGTAACGAACAGAAACAAATAAATTTATAAATCTGCTAAGCAGATTTCCCTCTTCACTTTCATGTCAGACGTCAGATAAGAAATCAGAAGATAGAAAGGAAAGGATACCTATAGAAATATGAAGATCTTCGTTCGAGGAATAATGGACCTGTATTTTAACTAAGATGAAAAATTAGCCAACAAAAACCACTTAACACTTTTGTTTAGACAATAGATATCAGATTAAATTTGGCAGATTAATTGTTGATTTAATTATACAAGTCGGTGCACAATATTTCTCACCCTCATTGTCCAATCGCATTCAATTATCGCAAATCTTTTCTTTTATAATTTAATGATATAGATCTGTTTAGACTTCGGATACAACATGCGTTCTATACTTATTTAAATAGACTAATATTAACTACAATACATACATACACCGTCTCCAATCTCGGAATCTATATATATACATATATATGGCTTATAAAAAGGCCTTTGAGACAAAACTGAAGTGCTGTCGTGTTATTTTATATTTAACATTATCGCTTTATTCATTGTTGTGTTTATAAATATAGTGAGAATTTGTTGTTATATTCAAAGCTTTCAAAGGACTTATGAAGTGGCATTTGCCGTAATTAACTGTACAGTATAAAAAGGGTTTAATGAAGAAAACTTAAAGCCTACGCTTTATACAAGGGAAATTGTAAAATTATCTTACATAATTTGCCCGAAACGCCGCCGTTTACTCAATATGCGGTCAATATATAATTTAAATTTACAGTAAAATTTATAAATAGCTGCTATATATAATTATTACTTGTACATATGCTTAGCTATGTATGGTACCTAATCTGTATCATGCGCATTCTTATTTTGCTTGTGTGAGTGTGTGTACATGTGTGCGTGTATGAGCAGGTGTTTTTGTGTATGTAGGTGTGTGTGTGTGTGTGTGATTGCTGCTGCTCATGGTTTGTGTCAAGATCGTTACGGGAAAGACTTAACAATTAGCCGCGCCCGACACAGACACCACAGCCAAGCTTAAAACTAACCTAAATGTATATACAATTGTATTGGCGGCATTCGCTCCTCACGTCTGCGTGCGCCGGTCGTATTCGCTGCGTCTGTAATCAGCAGGGTATTCGCGCGGCATGACTGGGTAGCCGCGTTCACTCCGATAGCCTGGCGGCGGTGGTGGCAAAGCCATGCCATTCGGCAGGTAGTAATTAGACGGCAGGTAATGGCCCGAGTAGGCATGAGACACTGCGGACGGGTATCTGCGGGAAATAAAGCAAAGAATTGGTTAATCAAGCGATCTATTGACCTACATTTAGTTACTACTAGCTCTATCTTAACATACGATAACATAAGATCAAAATCGTGTTATATAGTACTAAAGCTTATCTATTTGATAGATTCATGTTTCCCCAGTTTGTTAGCTCTTGAGATTTACCTGCGTTTGTCTGGTCTTCGCTCGCGATCACGCTCACGATGATCTCGATGATAACCGCTGCCGGCAGCACCACTGCCTCCTCGTGGATATAAAGAATCATATCGCTCGCGCTTATAGTCAAAATTGTAACTGCAATTAAAATGAAATTAATAAAACAAATCTCAATGGCTATATTTGTGCCTACGACATACCGGTCCCGTGGATGCCAACGATCCATTTCAGAAGCATAGCCAGATGGCGCAGGCGACGGCTCGAAGCGCCGACTACTGCCGCCAATTGCTGACGGTGAGTTGAGACCAGAACGACGTGTGCTACTCCCGTCATAGCCACTTGGTGGCCCACCGCCGGCACCTCCGTAGTACTCATCGCCTCTGTGATGCTTCTTGCGCTGGTCTTCGTGGCTGCCATGTCGCGAGGATGCCGCTGTATCCATATTAAGGCGTTTGAAAGACATCGACTTCAGGTTGTCGCTGATTCCAGAGTTATTTACAGCCATGCCGCTGGCCTCCGCATCGTTCTCATCACGTTTTCGCTTCAGTGGCGATTCGTTGGTAAAGCGGCGTGTAGATTTCTCATCGGTCGGCGTACCCGAATAGCGTCCCTGACGCTCCTTGTCCTTATCCTTCTTTTTCTTCTTCCCACTCTTATCACGCTCTTTCTCCTTGTCTGCAACGTCGCCATTTTCAGCTCGCGAGCGTTTCGACTTTCCACCATCATCGGCTGCTGCATTTGCAGGTTCATCCTTCTGCGTTTGCTGCTTAAGGGCATGCTTGTAGATCTTAAACAGTCGCTTGGCATCCAGCTCCGTGAACTTGGACACAAAATACCAAAGATTGCTGCGCCACTCCTTCTTCTCAGTCTCGCCATAGGGCTGCAGGCAAACGTCAATTTGTCGCCCGATCTGCAGTAGACAGTCACGCGTGTGCTGCAACTGATCCTGGTCGGACAGACTGAGATCGGGCTGATCTAGAGCTTTGAGCGCTTTCTTCACCGGTCGCATCTTCTCCTTGCATTCGTTGAAAATGCTCGGATCCAAATCACCGAGCACTTCCAGTGCACGTGGCTCATTGTTGGCCGTAAAGTGCATAGGTTTATTGCCATTGTTGTCAGAGGCGCTTGACTTCTTGCTCCGAGTCTTTGACTTTTTCTTTTTCTGTGAACTACCTTGTTCTGTCGCTGATGCGGCTGCAGTGATTGGCGAGGCGACAGAGTTGCTGCCATCCACTGTCTGCCGTAAGCTACTGTCGCCCGCCAGCGAGGAGCTACCTTCCTCAGCAGCTCCATCCTTTCGCTCTGGCGTACTGGCTGCCACAGTGCTTGAATTGAGATTAGTTTTTAGTTTACGCGGCCGGCGCTGTCGCCGCTTTTCGCCTTTCGTCAGCTCAACATTCTTCTTGATAATCTTGAGCAGGTACTCCGCCCTGGATTGCAAGTGCTTGGCTTGGGGCTTGCGTGTGTCGTTAAGTAGTATTTTCTCGCTCAGCTTGAGCGTTGGATCCAGCTTCATTTGCTCCCAGGAACCAATGCCATACTGATAAATGCCGCGCAGCAAATGGGTGTCCTCCTCGACACCCCACTCCACATCGAAATTGGCTGAGCGTGTCTTGATGTTGAACACCCACTGCTGCCGCTCGACTGCCGAGCTGGGCATGAGCTCGTTTAGTGGATGTAGCTCTTCTTCACAGGCCAGCAGCGTTTTGGCATTGAACGACACCCCGCCCAGTTTGACCGAGTAAGTGGCGCGGGTGCGTCGCTGTTTGCTGCCCTGCTGCTCGTCTTCTTTCACAGTCTTGTTTTCTTCCTCCTTGTGCTCGTCCAGGAACTGCACGCAGCGCTGATGGAGCATCTCACCAACTCGCTTTAGCTCCGCTAATGGCTTCTCCTGCAACTCCGCATCGCATGCAATCGCCTCTAGACGCTGCAACGGCGCTGGAAACTTTTTATAGCTGCGTATGAAACGTCGCAGCTCTGCGTCGGTGAAGCCATTGATTTTCTCCTTCATAGCAGGTCGTCCGCGTTTGCGCTGCCTGCCGCCTCCATCCTCGCCCCCAGCTCCGCTGGCATCAGAGCCCATTTCATAATCGGAATCACCGGAATCGTCGCCCTGCTTGGAACGTTGCCCGCTCTTGGGTGCCCCTCGCTTGCCGGAATCATTTTTATTTGCGGCAGCCGTTTTGCGTCGCGGCGGCAAGTACAAGTCCTCCATTTCCTTAGCACGCTCCTGATCCTCAATGACTTTTCGGAAACCTTCGGGTATAATGTCGTCCCAATCCTTGCTGTCATCCTCATCGTCAGCCCCTTGCAGGTCCTTACTCGTCGACTCACTGGGTTCGTCCTCCTGGAACGCAGCTATGCTGGCCACCTTGAAAGCTGAAAGCAGATCATCGCCTGGCATTTCTGGATCTTCGTTCCGTGTCTCAGCGCGACGCAGAATTTCGTCAATATCGCACACAAGCTCCTCCTCATGCTCCTGCTCATCCTTGAATAGTTCCTCTGCGCCAAATTTAAGAATGGCCGACAAGTCATCTTTGTTAAAGGGATTTGAATTGGATGAGTGAGCGCTGCCACTTTTGTCTAGCACCGTTCGGCCTGTGGTGTCCATACGCTGGATCACCAAATGATCGAGCACCATCTTTTGCTTGGCGCGCTCTACAATCTGCTCCTCGACGGATCGCGCCGTGACAAGGCGATAAATATTGACCTGATTCTTTTGGCCGATGCGATGGGCACGGGCTTGCGCTTGCAAATCATTCTGCGGATTCCAATCAGAATCGAATATAATGACCGTATCGGCTGTGGCCAAATTAATGCCCAAGCCACCGGCACGTGTCGATAGCAAGAAGCAAAAGTCCTGACTACCCTCAGCATTAAAGTGATCCAATGCCTGCCGCCGCATTTCACCCTTGATGCTGCCATCCAAGCGCTGAAACGAGAAATGTCGCTTCTGGAGATAATCAGCGAGCACATCTAACATGCGAACCATCTGCGAAAATATTAGCACACGATGACCCGTTTCCTTTAGCCGGCAAAGAAGTTTATCCAACAGCACTAGCTTGCCGGAGCCTTTCAGCAGCACCTGGAGCGCTTCGTCCTGCTGCAAGCCAAAAAGCTCAAATTCTGATGGACGTATAAGTGCGGCATGATTGCAGCACTTCTTCAGTTCAATGACAATGTTAAGGAAGGTCGAGGTGGAGCCACGTTTACCCTTGCGAAGCGCATCAAAATTTTTGGTAAGTATCCATTTGTAGTACTGCTTCTGCAGTGATGTCATCTCCACACGAAGTATTTGCTCCACTTTGGCGGGCAGCGACTTCTCCACATCTTTCTTGACACGTCGCAGTATATATGGCTCGAGCTGTTGATGTAGGCGCGTGTAGCCCTTGTCCTCGGCATTGCCATGCTGCAGCTCAAAGTTTTCCCATGTATCGAATTTCTCAGGCATTATAAAGTGAAGCAGAGCCCAGAGCTCTTTCAGTGAGTTCTGCAATGGCGTGCCCGTAATGAGCAGTCGATGATTTGTGTCGAATTCCTTGAGCGATTTGTACAGCAGAGAGTCGTCATTTTTTAGCCGATGCGCCTCATCCACCAGCAATGCCGCCCACTGAAGGGTGCCCAGAAACTGTTTGTCCTTAAGCACAATCTCATAGGTCGTTAATATGCAATTGAATTTCAGTCTTTTGGAGCCTTCAAACTGCCACTCGTATTGCTGTATTAGCTCGCGTGACTTAACGTCACCCAGATATGTAACTACATTCATATCGGGCGCCCATAAATCGAATTCCCGCTGCCAGGCGGTCATTGTACTGAGCGGCACTACACATAAAAACGGTCCATACAGATGATGAATCTTGAAGAGTGAATAGAGAAAACATATTGTTTGGATGGTCTTTCCCAGACCCATCTCATCGGCCAGTATAACGGAGTTCTCCTTGCACCAGGAATGCAGCAGCCAGTTCAGTCCATCCATTTGATAGTCACGGAGTGTTAGTCCCTCTACCAGAAAATCAGGCTGTGACCTGATGCGCGAGAACTTGGGACGATATTTGATCACACGGCAGTGACGAGATGGCGTCCACTTGGAGTTTTCTCGCTCGGTGAATTGTTCAACGCATCGTTGCCATTTCCTAATCACCAAGGTTGCATCCTCCCAAGTGGACTCCGAATAAGGCAACGATTGCCATTTGCACAGAAACTCCTCACTGCCATCTTCGGGCTTTGTGCCACGTGCTATTATTCGATCCACATTGTTATAGGACTTAAGCAGATCATGCTGCAGCTCCTGTTGGCATTCAAAGTAATCGATATCTTCAGGGCCCGCATAGCGCCGCCAGCAGGCTGTGTCCTGCTCCTTCTTTATGAAGTTGTCCAGCTTTTTCATGCCCTTCGCCTTCATTTCGCGCAGCGTCGTTTCCGACTCCCAGGTATTGTGTATGTAGCTCCAGCCCTTCCACTTGATCAGGTATTGCACCTCCAACGGCTCTGACGAGTCCTCAAAACCCGCATTCGGATCACATCCATTCTCCTCAATGGCATAAATTGTCGTTTGATTTCCGGTACAGCCTTTCTTGCCATCACGCTTCGCAAGTATTCGCTCAATAGTTTCGCACTTCTCCTCTTCCTCAGCGGCGGCCGCATTAGCCGCCGCTTGACTTTCATCGTACTCGAATTCCAGCAAGTCCTCCGAGTCGGTGGCCTCGTCCTCAGATGCCTCTTTGTAACTCACAGCAGCAGCGGTGCGACGAGTTGCGCACCTGTTATTATTGAGATATGATTGAGTTTCATTAAATCTTATGATATATTTACATTGACATACCTCTTGCTTGCATCATCATCGTCGCTATCCTCAGAACTAAAGGATTTAACGCGACGTCGCGCCTGCTGAGGTTGTGACTGTTTGTTGCCGCCGGAACGCGCATTGCATTTGCGTTTCTGTGTTGCAAAAGGTGCCTCATCGCTCTCTGCGTCGTTGCTCCCGTCGCTCTCGTCGGAGTCCCAACTGTGTATGAATAGATGCTTAAATGGTTTCGCTCAAGAATTCTAAAATAATACGATTGCACTGCCTTTTGTTTGATCTATATATCGAAAAGCAATTTTTTGTACGGCATCCCCTTTAGCAAATCCTAAAAAATGTTCTTTGAGAACATTTCATAGTTAGTTTTATCTTAAAAAAAAAATAGTAATACAAAACTTAATACTGTACGTTTCCTTAGCATCTTATGATCTAATAATTCACTAAAAAATCCAATTAAATATAATAGTAAGACGTAATAGAGGATTTTTTTTATATATATTCATAATCTAACTAAATGTACTAAATTGGCAAACATTTGAATGCAATCAATCTAATTCTAATTTATTGAACTTACGTTTGGGTTTTCTTCTTCTTTTTGGCAGGTCTCTTTGATTTTTCTGCAGCGGATGGCGCGGCTTTGCGCGGCTGTCGCGTAGAGCGCTTAGGTCTGTAATCTTCCTCCTCATCCTCCTATTGGGTTGTTTAAAGTAGTTGAGCTAACATGTTGGAGAGGCACTAAATCATGAAAGAGGTTTAACTTACGCTGCTGCTACTGCTGCTGGAGGATGTGGGCGAGGCATTGGCGGAGCTATCACTGGCATCATCTTCATCGGCGCTGGCTTCGCTGACGGCCTGTGATTTTTGTGTCTTGTCTTCTTCACCATCTTCTTCTCCATCATCATCATCGTCGTCGTCTTCATCGTCATCATCCTCTTCGCCAGCCTTGGCAAGGGTTGCTGCAGAGGTGCCCGAGGAGCTGCTGCTACTACTCGTATGCAACTTGCTGCTGTTGTTGTTGTTGCTGTTGTTGTTACTGTTTGTTCTGTCCGGCTCGCCGCCAGCCTCTGCATCTGAGYCAGAGTCACTGGCACTGGAACCACTGCTGGAACTGTCATCCTCATTCCCATCCGTAAAGCCATTCGTTTTGGTATCTGCTTGAGCGGCCACTGCTGTTGGTGGAAAACCTGCCACCGCCGTTTTGGCAACCGTTGGCTCCTGCGAACTGCGTCCATCGCTGGAGTTACCTGAGGAACTGTCTGAATCAGAGTCGGAGCCCGAGGATCCACTCCCACTACCGCTGCCACTGCCACTGGCCTCTTCTCTTGTGTCATCTTGTTCGTCTGAGCCTATACTATGCGACGATTCATTGAGTGCCTGTGCAAGAATAGGAAAGAAGATTATGGTGAATCGCATTCGAAATATGGACATTCATTTCGAGAAATTCATGAGTTGAATATTTGTTTGATGCGTTTAACGGAATACCTTGAAAATCGAATGCCAATTGATTTACACTTCTCTTATCCTTTACCCAATTATAAAAACTAAAACATTTCAAGTCATTCAAATTGAAGAATTTAGGATTATGTAAAAGTTTTATGCGCCACTTATAATTCTTATAGATCAATAAACATATAGCTTTATACATTCAGACATAGCTTAATATATTTATATTCTTAAGAATATGAAGCATTTCTGACATTATCCCGGAGTATTTCCGTATTGATCAGCTTAACGTAACCAGAAAACCAACTGCTTCTAATTTAGTTTAATATTCCCACAACCTCTCTGTAAACCTGGGTTTATATTCAGCATCCTCTTAGCACATAATAATATCAGGCAATAGGTTGACTGAACCTAATCCCCTCCAGCTATTTGGCTGCATATCCTCTGAATATATTAAGTAAGCAACTAATCTTTCCTAAACATGCGATTTGTGATTTAATAATGCTACTGCATCAGTCGCAAGTGGCTGTGGTACAATATAACAGCTAAGATCAGACAAGAGCTGAAAAAACAGCCTGAATCCTGGCCAGACATTAGTAAATCCTTATATTACCGAAAAACTTCACAATACATACAAAATGTGAGAAACTCAGCAATTGCCACAGCATAAGATGTCGCCAATGTAATTGAAATGCCTTGCAGTTAAAGAATAACATATGTACATTCCAATTTAATGGCTAATCCTCTCCAGAAATCCACATAATAGTATTAATGGACGTTTTTTCATATAAATGCCAGCACTTGTTGACTTCAACACGTTGTCTGATCCGGGTACGCAGACATACTATTAAGAAATGGAAGGATAACACTTTATACGCGATCCTGGAGAGAAAAGCCGGTAAATACATCAAAAATACGCGAATTCCATGACACTGACGAGATTTTTATGGTCTAAGTTCACAACATTGTTGCTCAAATTAAGAGAAATCGGATAAAAATGATTGAAAATATATTTTAATACAAGAATTTAGTTAAATCAAGACTAGTTCTGTGCAAGATTGATTTTGGCGGGCTGATATTCCACGAGAATTGGCCAGAAATTCAGTGTTTGGAGCACGAGGAAAACTTTGCACCTGACAAAATGTGGTTACGTAATCGATGAAAATTTTCAATTTCTACTCGAATTGGTCGAAAATAATGCAATATATGCATTTTTGTATGCGGCATTCAACGAAAACAAACTGAAATGCCTAATTTCAATCGAAATTTGCGAAAATGGGTACCCAATGGATTTTCAGAAAATTAACACTGGCTGCCACGTTGAATCCTCTGGAATCGGTTGACGTCGTGAAAACAGTGAAACACCATTGAATATACAATATTTAAGCACTTTTTTGTTTGAAAGCCGTAATAGCTGGCACCCCAAGTGCCGTACGTGTGACGGAGTCTCAAACGGGGGGACACCTCTTGGGTTAGTCTCCGTGACTGGCACATGCCACACCCACAAAATCAACGTAGAAATTCAATATAGCACAATTTTTTAGAATAATACTCACACGACGACTCGAACTCAACTGATTGAGATAGCCTTGTTTCGAGTGATAGTAAAATTTCATAGTTTTCTTGTTATTTTTTTCTCTTACACGACGTTCACTGTCACAGCTTTTTCAAGGCCTACTTACCTGGCTCATTATATTTTCGTGGTAGCACACAGAGTTGCCTTATAGCGCTCATTAAACATGCAATACACTATTTAACGGTTTTGATAAATGTTTGTTTTGGTTTGAAAGTGAGACACTTGTTTTTAAATGCAGTTTTCAACTACACAAAAGATGTTCACGTCGCCTTGGTCTATTGCTGTAAAAAATACGCCATTTTGTTTTAAGTAGGGCTGCACTGAAAGTGAAAATTATCGAGTCAACCAGGGCTGCAAATAGCGATAAGTTCATCGTCGCTACACACCTGTTTCCGACTGCATCCAGCTGATTTTTAGTCTGTAAGAGTTCAATATTAAGTTGGCAGTTCCGCAACAACTGCTCTAACTACGTCGACGCTTTTAGATTCTAGCTATTTTCTAAAATATACAATGCTCGTGCATTAAAAACTGAAAGAATTTCAGCATGTAGCACTCGTGTATACCTACGGACGTGTACAAAATGAAAGAAGTGGGCATAGCGCTGCCCAAATCGCGGGGTATAGGAGTAGGCATTGTAGGCGCTTTTCTTCTATTCTTCGTTTTCTATTACTTTTATGGGGGTTACATGACGCTTACGCTCTTTGCAGCTATTTTACTACGTATGTAAACGGAAATATATCTGTATAGTTCCAATAGTTATTTTTATTTATTTATTTATTTGCAGTTATCTTTTACCATGCACAAGACCTTCTCTTGTATCATCCGGACTTGCCAACAAACTCCCGCATTTACATACCCATCCCCACAATGCACAACCTGCCGCATCTTACCGTTAGCATAAAGACGCCTGATGGAGTTACACTGCATGCCTTCTGGATAAGTCAACCCGAGGAACGCTGCAAATCTGTGCCCACACTACTCTACTTCCATGGCAATGCGGGCAATATGGGACATCGAATGCAGAATGTAATGAGGGACTATAACCAAAAATTCTTAACCAGCTTAATTTAATTTGTTCCTTTCGTAAGGTGTGGGGCATTTATCATCATCTGCACTGCAACGTCTTGATGGTCGAGTATCGCGGTTATGGTCTATCGACTGGCGTGCCTTCCGAACGTGGTCTGGTAACAGATGCACGAGCCGCAATTGATTATTTGCACACGCGCCATGACTTGGATCATTCGCAGCTTATACTGTTTGGTCGCTCGCTGGGCGGCGCCGTCGTAATCGATGTAGCTGCCGACGCTGTCTATGGCCAAAAGTTAATGTGCGCCATTGTAGAAAACACATTTACTAGTATACGCGATATGGCAGTCGAGCTGGTGCATCCATCTGTGAAATACATACCAAATCTATTGTATAAAAATAAGGTAATTTTAATTCATATTTCTTTCTCGAGTGTTTGTTGTATCATTGCATTCATTGTACACTTCCGTTTTTCTTTCGCAGTATCATTCAATTAACAAGATAAGCAAGTGCTCGGTGCCTTTTCTATTTATATCGGGCCTTGCAGATAACCTAGTGCCACCGCGCATGATGCGTGCCTTGTATACCAAATGCGGTAGCGAACAGAAACGTATGATTGAATTTCCGGGGGGCTCACACAACGACACCTGGATAGTCGATGGGTAAGCTTTAACAATCATTTATCAGCAGATAAGTTTCTGAGTCGTTCAAGCAACAAAACGGCGATCTTATAAATGTTTATCTTATGGAGAGATCGTTGTCCTTGTCCTAGATATCTCAGTTACTAATGCTCCTCTAAATGATAATTGCTTCCAATCAGAAATATTTTAATTAAAACTCATTATTTTTCAGTTACTACCAAAGCATTGGAAACTTCTTGGTCGACTTGCTGCAGCAGCCTTCTCCATTGCAAAAGCCACCGGAGAAGAGCAATGTCTGGGTCGAACTGGAGCATAAGATTATCGACGTTTAACTCCCCCATATTTGATAGGTATACACATACAAACTTACACAAAAAGTGTTCTATTGACTGTGTTAACACTGCATTGGTTTATTACTGATGCRCACATACATACATAGAGACAATTCATGTGTGTTCATGATAGTTGTTCAATATGTGTGTATGCAAGGTGTTTTTAAATCTGAATTCTGCACTAGGCTAAGACATTTTACGTGCTTATAGTTCTGTTAATGAAGCTGACAAGCATTGGGAACAGCTAGTTCCATATTTTAAATGTTAAACTACTTATGTATATTAGGTTAATTGTTAACAAGTAACAAATTAAATTAGTTTTTAGATTAGCCTAAAATCTAAATCAGGTTCCGCAAATGCAAAAACAATAAATTATTTGTAAATTCAACAACTAGAAGCCCAGGAATTTTTCCTCAGCGCTATTCTCCGGGTCAAAGTCTTCGTCATCGTCGTCGCACTTTGAAGTACGTTTAGGACTCTGCTGCTGTTGCTCTGATTCATCATCCTCGGTAATGCTGGCCGCTGGCTTGGATTCGGCCTGCGATCGATGATGGAACACAAATGAAACACATTTACTTGCTGTCCACGCCTGGGACAAAATGCTGTCCGGCAAGCCGCGATTGTTCGAGCAGTGGAACCACTGCGACAGATGTGAGGTGCAGTCTGTATTCTCTGCTGGTGGCTGTCTTTGCACGTCCTGAAAACAACGCTTGCACTTCAGCCTGAAAAGTGCAATATATATATATATATATATACATATATCATTTTCATTTCTTAATAAATCACCAGGCACTCACTTATTGTGCGTATCGGATAACACGTTCGCCTCGAAGCTAAATAGATCCTTAAGATCATCGCGTGTGAAATGCTTTTCTGAAGACTCATTGTTGTCTATGATTGTGCTGGACAGCGACTTCTTGTGTGTCTGCCTCTGCAGGATTTTCTCCTCAATCGAACCGCTCTTAAATTAGAGTTTATTATATTATATTAAATATATTAAAAGAAATTGAAATGGCTTCGGCACACTTACTGCGACCAAGCGATAGATGTAGCAGGGCTTCTTCTGGCCATCGCGCCATACTCGAGCCATGGCCTGCTCATCGTTAGCCGGATTCCAGTCGGGATCAAACATGAATAAACGATTCGCGCCTATCAGATTCAAGCCGCAACCGCCGGCTTTACTGCTTAGCATAAAGAGAAAGCAGTCGGTACTGGGATCGTTGAATCTGTCCACAACCTTGGAACGCTTCTTAATGGTCATGGTGCCATCCAACCGAACATAAGTGTACTTTCGCTTGCGCGCCAGCTGCTCAAACAGATCCAGCGTTTGAGTATAATTCGAAATGAGCACCACTTTGTCATCGCTATTGGCTCGTATGGCGGCCAGCATAAAATCCAACAGCATAAACTTGCCGCTCAGTTCCGGGTTGACATCTCTACAAGTATATCCAGATGTTAGTATAAATATTTATAAAAGGAATAGTTGATGAACAAACTTCGGTTTGTAATTGGGCGGCAAAACATTCTGAGAGTTCTCGAAACCCTTTTCCTTTGCCACAATTTTCTCGTAGATCAAATCCGGATGATTACACAGCTTTTTCAACGTTGTTATGTCAGCCAATGCCGTCAGCGATGCCTTCTCATTGCAATCTAATTAAAATAAACATGTTTTAACAAAAATTGGCCCCATCTTACTGACTTTTTACCTACCTGCCAGACTGCGTCGCACCTGATCCGATTTGAGGAAATTGGTATAGATTTGCAATTGCACTGGTGTTAGCTTGACACACACGACCATTTCAAATTTGACCGGCAGATATTTGGTCAGGATTTGATTGGTACGCCGTATGATGCATTGATTGACCAATCCAATTAATTCTTGGGTCTTCTGCAAGGCTCGTTGACGTTCAGCATCCGTAGAATCAGCATTTTGACCGCGTAGAATTGAATTTTCAAAATTACGCTTAAAATCGGCGGCAGTGCCCAACATTTCCGGATTCACAAAGTTGACCAAACTGAAATACTCGGTCAGATCGTTTTGTATCGGCGTGCCGGAGAGTAAAACACGTCGTTTGGTCTTCAGTCCCATGAGAGCCTGATAAGTGAGATTATCGCTGTTCTTAAGCCGATGGCCTTCATCGCAGATGACCATGCCCACCTCCGTTTTGCAGAGTATATGTGCGTAGAGGCGGAATGTTTCGTAACTGATCAGCAGCACCGGAGTTCCACAGCGCGTAGCTGTATTCATGGCAAACTGTTCCAGAGCGCGTGTTGTGTCTTCCTTGGAGCCACCCTCCATAGCCAGGCAGTGCATGCGTCCATGTAGCCATTTAGTAAACTCCTTCTCCCAGTTTTTCACCAGTGATGATGGCGACACAACTATGGCCTTGGAGATCGTTGGCTTGCAATCCGGGCTTTGACGCAGCAGCGTCCACGTTAAGGTGACGCACTGCAAGGTCTTGCCTAGACCCATTTCATCAGCCATAATGCAGCCGTTGAAATTACCTCGTTTACCTTCCACACATTCATACATAAAGCGCACACCTTCACGCTGATGTGGACGCAGCACGTTGCTGAGGATTGGGTCAACTACAACATGTACCTGCACTTTGCTTGGATCCATTGACATGCGCTCGTGCTCGGTGTAGGCCGGCGGCACATATAAGACTAAAGCATTGCACGCCTGTGGATCGTGCAGGGCACGACGCACTATGGTCCGACGTACACCCAGTGTCCGATTTCCTCCATAATCTGGCACGTAGTTGGCAATGGGTACTTTGAATTTGCGCGCTAGCACCTTGGCAATGGCTTGCTCATACTCGCTATTCGCGGTGAAGCGTATCGGGAGCGGAAGCTCGACTCGATTGGTAGCATCGCGTAATGCGCTTTGGCGCTTTTGCAGCTCCTCTTGACACACGCGTTTATTTTTCTTTTTTAATGGAGGGGTGAAGGCGTCCTTTGATTTGATACGTACTCCCAGTCTTTGACTGGGTGCTAAACTGCGTCTCTATTCAGAAATGAGTACAAAATTATTTACATTTACTTGAATACAATTTCAGAAAATATACGCGCTTACCATTTTATATATTTTTAATTTAAAGGCGCGGAAAATCAGCTGTTGCCATGTTGTTTTACAGCACTGTCAATTTGAGCGGCGCTTGGGCACACTTTGAAGGCAACAATGGAATGACACTTTGATGTGTTATATTATATATTTATATGAGAAGCATCGATTTTACAAGCCCATCAATTTATATTTTTGTTATTCTTATTTGGAATTATAAAGTTGTGTTTTAAATATTAACAAATTTCCAATACACATAAATTTTAAATTCACAAGTATTTCATAATTTGACGGTGTCATTCCAACTAAATATCGTTTGGGTGACCATAGAGTGCGAAATACAAAGTATAGTAAAATAAATATATGTATATTTTACAGCACTAGTCTTTTCGCACTGTAACTTTCTGAATAGAATTGATAAGAACTAGCTATTTAACCAATTTAGCAACTGCCAGCGAAGCTTAATTATATACGTGTTACAATTACTCATATGTGGCATCACATCTAAATACAATGTGTACATACTAAACATCTGGAGCGTTTAAATTTATCTCGAAACGAGCGGTCGCTGCTCGGGTTTCGGCGATTTGCAGTCGTGGTGTTTTGTTATTGGAGCAGCAGCAGGCAGCCGTAGCAGCAAACAAGATTAAAAATAAACTATCTTGAAATGTTACTACTTTGAATAAGCGAAAAAAAATGCAAACAACACAGCTGAGCACGTCACAACAGCACAAATGCAAGAAAAAGTGCAACAAAAATATAGAAATATTTTTGTCGGGTAAGGTTAATGGTCATAAATGTAAAGACCCCACACACATACACCCGCAAGCGGAGACTTGTACACACATATGTATATATACATGTACATGTATGAATATAATATATACTAATTTTTTCTTTTGACAGTCTACCATCCATATATTTAAATGAGACGCTGATTTCAAATTAAAAGCAGAGAAACTCTACTAAAGCGGACAACGCGATAAATTAAAATATATAAGTAAACCAACGAATAACACGTTCAAAGTGAAGGTCAACGCCACTAGCGACAAACAAAAACAATAACAAGGTGATAAGTAACGGCAACGGTGGCTGCCAAAAACGATAAACGAACAGCACCAGCTGCTTGGAATTGGAGCTAGCACTCAAGTTTAAGCTTCAGCTCCCAGTTCCAGTTCCAATTCCAATTCCAATTCCAGTTCGAGCCAAACGATACGATGAGCTCAACTACATTGTCGATCGTGGCACAGCGTCTGCTGTTGCCGTCGCTGGTCTCTCTGCTCCTGCTAATTGTGAGCGTAATTAGTGACGATGCGAGTACGATGCCCACACAAAACATGTCGCACAAGGAGCGCGCCGAACTGCGGTAATTGAACACAGCTACATATAAGCATTTCCTAATATGTCCATTTCTCTATTTTTTAGCGAGGAGTCACGTGAAATGTTCTATCATGCATATCATGCCTATATGGAGAACGCATATCCTGCCGACGAGCTTATGCCACTTTCCTGCAAGGGACGGTACCGCGGTGTGACACCTTCCCGAGGTGATATGGACGACATATTGGGCAAGTGAGTATAGCTACCAAAAGACAACACGGGAAATTCTTGTTATAGATATGTATTTGAATTGATTAGATAAAGCCTTGAAAATAAGTGTACTATATTAAGTTTTAAATCACTTTGAAATTGGTTGACAATCTAATCTTATTTCTGTATAGGCAATAGCGATATAATACACTTTTAGTACATATTTTATATAAACTATGCTATCAACTTTGAACCAACAAACTTTCAAAGACCTCAATGACAATCAGCTAGTTTATTAAGAAATTTCTATGTCTAATATGTCTGACATCCGGGTTAATTCTACTCATCATTCTGCTTTGCAGCTTTTCTATGACATTGGTGGATTCGCTGGACACTTTGGTGCTGCTTGGCGACTTTGCCGAGTTCGAGCACGCCGTTAAGCTGGTCATACGGGACGTGCAATTTGACAGCGATATCATTGTCTCTGTGTTCGAGACGAATATTCGTATGGTGGGTGGCTTACTGTCGGCTCACATACTCGCTGAATACCTGCAAAAGCAAGCAGACGTGATGCATTGGTATAAGGGTGAAATGCTTGAAATGGCCCGTGAGCTGGGCTATCGCTTGCTGCCGGCATTTAATACCACGACGGGTATACCGCATGCACGCGTCAATCTGCGACTGGGCATGAAGGATCCGCAGCTGAAGAAGTCACGGGAAACGTGCACCGCCTGCGCCGGCACCATTTTATTGGAGTTTGCCGCATTGTCGCGGCTAACTGGCGATCCCATCTTTGAGGTGCGCGCCCATGCTGCAATGGATGCACTGTGGAAGCTGCGACATCGCGGCTCTGATCTAATGGGAACGGTGCTGAATATACACTCTGGCGATTGGATACGCCGTGATTCGGGCGTGGGAGCTGGCATCGACAGCTACTACGAATATCTGTTCAAATCCTATGTGCTACTCGGCGATGACAAGTATCTGGCTCGGTTTAATCGACACTATAACGCCGTTATGAAGTATGTCAGCGAGGGTCCCATGCTGCTGGATGTGCTGATGCATCGGCCGCATGCGAAGTCGCGAAACTTCATGGACTCCCTACTGGCGTTCTGGCCGGGACTGCAGGTGCTCTCAGGTGATCTAAAGCCGGCGGTGCAAACCCACGAAATGCTTTACCAAGTGATGCAGATGCACACGCTCATACCAGAAGCGTGGACAGTAGACTTTCAAATACACTGGGGTCAGCATCACTTGCGGCCGGAATTCATAGAGTCCACGTATTTCTTGTATCGAGCCACCGGTGATCATCATTATCTTCAAGTGGGCAAGCGGGCGCTGAAAACGCTGCAGAAGTACGCGAAGGTCTCCTGCGGCTATGCAGCCGTCAACGATGTGCGCACCGGCAAGCATGAGGATCGCATGGATTCATTTGTGCTGTCCGAGACGTTTAAGTATCTGTTTTTGCTGTTCTCTGATCCGCAGGATTTGATCATCAATGTGGATGAGTTTGTGTTTACCACCGAGGCGCATCTGTTGCCACTATCTATAGCACAGCTAGGGAACTCCACGTTTAGTAAGGAACATTATACGTAACTCTATGAACTGCATTAATTAATTAACTATTAATTATTGTTTACAGGCTTTCGGCAATCGGACGAGCACAATGTACTCGACTTCATGCGGACTTGCCCCAGTTCCAATAAGCTTTTTCCTGAAAAAGTACGCAAACCACTGCGCAACTTCATTACGGGCTCGTGCCCGCGCACCATCAGTGGCAAGCGACTCAGTGCCCTCGATTTTCAGGCAAGCAATGCAGATCATCTGCGAGCTGTATACGACATGGGCATCACCATGGTTTCGGTAGGCGACCGAAGCCAAGGCAAGGTGCGACTGTTTCATAGTTTCTATAATGTAAGTTTTCTTTTGGTTCTTGCACTTGTTCGTTCGTTCAAGGCTTCTCATTTTTGTTTTTTCCATATTCATATATTACGATGTATGGTAAAGCCTTCCATAATTTAATTCATTTATATTTTTGTCCATAGGCCAAGAGCCAAGAGGAAGGCGAAATGGGATTGCAGTTCATGCAGGAAATGCTGGAGCTAACCAAAATGCAGAGCATGAACCAGCTGGCACAGCTGCAGGTGCGTAACTCAAATGATAAGAATTATCCGAAGCACTTGATAATGGTGAGATTTTGATCGACAACTAGAATATCTGTTTAGTCAGATTCATGACTCTAAATATTGTCGAAGGATATACAAATTTAGAACTGATTGAACTAAAATGCATTTCTGTTTGATTTTGTAGGCCGTTGCCTATGCTTTGGATGAGCAGTCGCAGGACTGGACCGCTTTGGTGGCCGGCCCATCACACTTCAGTCCAGAGCTAATCGGTGAACAGTTTGTCGAAGGTGAAGTAGTGCTGGCCAGTCCGTTTCGTGCCTGTGACGAGAAGCTGGAGAACGCCAGCGATATATCTGGGAAAATTCTTGTCGCGGAACGCGGCGATTGCACGTTCGTGAGCAAAGCGCGTTTGGCACAAAAAGTAGGTGCCAAGGCGCTGATCGTCTGTGATAATGTATCAGGTTCTTCCGGCGAGACGCAACCGATGTTTGCGATGTCCGGCGATGGCAAAGATGATGTCGCTATACCCGTCGTCTTCATGTACAGCCAGGAGTTCACCAAGCTGTCGGCGGCGATGCAGCGCCGTCCACAGCTGCGTGTTCGCATCATGCAAATGGTGGAGTTCAAGCGGTGGCAGCTGGCCAAAGAGGCTCATCAGAATGAAACAGCGGCAGCAGCAGCGGCTGCCGCTCTGGCTGCGGGGACGATGCCAAAGAAAAAGCCAGACAAGGAGTTGTAGTGACTGCTCAAAAGTGCGCTAGGGCCATCTCTTTAACGCTTCGGTGAGGCGTTTTCTTAAGTTCTAAAGTGCTTTTCGATAAACATTTCACTAATTAAACAATCATATATTTCTAAAATGCTTTTTGATAAACATTTCAGCAATTAAACAATCATATATAGCATATATATAAGTTTATAAATCTTAACTTTCGTTCGCAGCAGCAACGGCTTGCGAATCTCTTTGCACTTTACTATACAAAACTAAGAACTCTAAATTTAAAGCTAAAATATCAGTCCGACTTGGCTCGTTAGCTCTCCACCTCGATCGATTGGCCAACTGTTGAAACAGTTTTTTAGCATTTTATTGAACCATTTTAAAAGGCGTTAGCATTACTCAGCTTCCTAGTTTGGCAGCTGCCAGGCTGTTCTATCTGAGTTTGTATCCGACATGTATAATATTATATGGATATTGTATCTGTAAAGAATCGTACTTATAGACCATAAACATTCACAATTTTTATATGAATTTTACTTTCGTATAAGTATATCTTCTGTAAATATATTAGCTGGTAGTAAGAAAAAAATATGAAAATTGTATTAATAATAACTAGATCGTAATGTTGTATTTGTAACGATTGAAAGAATGTGTAGCGGAAATTTATTAGTTCATATACCAAATACGTTTAAATACATCATTTGAAATAATACAAGTGTGTTCCAATTAATTGAAGGTTGAATCGTCAGGAGAACAGCCCGCCCCATGTCGAAAATGTAAAATATCGTGTTGTTGAATTTACTAATAGATATATTTATATATATTATCTTTTTTATTGTTTGTTTTAAATTTTGTGTTAAATCTAACACTGCTCTCATATTACTATATGTATATCTGCCTAGAGCAATGTTTTCTTTGAGAAAATAAAAATAAACATTTTCGTAAAGCTTGACCTGAAAGCTTAAACTAAATTAAATCATAAGTCAACTGGTCTTCATATTTCCTAGGCAACGATTGATATTGAATTCCGATTAACATATTTACATATAAATATGCAAGTGTGTGTGTATATATATATATAAAGATGTATGGCTTAACTTAAGTAGATAACGATACTACTTCAAAAGCATCTGTAATTTTATACATTTAGTTATATTTAGTAATAGATGGTAGAATGCTACAGACAAATTTTGGTAGGCGTTAAAGGATTCATTAAAAGTTAACTAAAAAACTATATTCAATTTTCGATCCCAATCTGAATTAAAACGATGAAGAGTTAAGCGTGGCTTGTTTTTTGATGTTTTCTTGTGTTTGGTTGCCCATCCCCATTTTTATGTGTTCTCTACACGGACACTGACAACTGGGGTGAGCCACCAGTGGATTCCGCCGTACTCTTCGCGTTCGTAATCAAACTTTGATGCGCAGTGGCCAACTTCAATACATGATTGGAAATGCTATCCACGACTAACGTATTCGGTGTCATAGTTATAACCTGGGGCTTTTGTCGCTTGTAGAATCGCTGATTGCTCTGGGGCGCCAAATATATCAGCTGTCGCGGATCCGATGTGTTAATCCACATTTCATCGTCCCTTGGTGACTTCAGTATTACATGATCCCCCGTATTGACGGCCACCAAATCTGAATCGAATTGTGGGGAAGGCAGACGATGAACGTGCAATACGCGGTGCGTTGGCGTGACGTGCGACAGCTCGCAGGCAATGATACGCAACTCCGGCCATTTGTTCGGCTCCTTGACATGTTGATACAACACAAGCAGGCTGCTCTGATCCATTTCAAAGCTTGGAAAATGCATAACGCCCAGATTCTGTCCCAGATCGAAGCCCAAGTCATAGTTCATTAACGTATCACCGCTTCGATGATCCCAAATGGTTATTCGCGTCTGTCCATAGCCAATCAAGCGATCCTCTGTCAGGCACTCAATGTGTTTCAACTCATGACGCAACTGCTTGAACTCCCTTATGCTGGCTAGTGTATCCAGCGTGGGTGTCAGCGAGTACTTGCAGATGCCAGCGCGCGGCTTGCCCACCATCAAATCCTGCTGCCAGGCCATAACAAAGTAGCGCGACTCGGTTATGGTCGTGTAGATCACCTGATTCGATTCGCTAAATTGTAAACATTTGTAAATTATTTTGACGTTTATCGGGAGATATTTGCTTAGGGCTCACCAATTGACTGCATCAAGATGCACCGAGTGCATCTTGGGGCGCAGCTCCTCGTCGCAGTAGTAGTAGACATTCACATACAGCGACAAAAGGTTGCTCTCACGCTTATGATGATCCAGCGGATGGCTGCGCATCTCAATGTAAACGGGCGTCGAGTTGTGCGTGCACAGGCGATTATCGAACGGTGCGGTAATTTCAATGTCTAGGGAGAATATATAATATAATATGAGATAATAATTAAAAAACTGAGCTGCAGGTATTGCTTACCGTTGGTAAGACGGCGTGATCCGCCCAAAGGTATCCATCGCTGGGTAAGGCTGTCAGTGGATTTCTCCGAGTCCGCCGATAATTTGCGTGATTTCTCATTTATGTTCGAGCCAAAGACATCAAATCCGTGTTGTGGATGCGCCGGATCGTGGCCCTCATCCTTCTGCAGCACTTTGAAAATTTTCGAGTACTTCCAAAACGAAACCAATTTCTCCTGCACCACAATGAGCTGATCGAGCTCATAGTATATGTAAAGCACCTTGCCATTCTTTCCCGCCAGCGGGTTTTGTAGCTCGGTCAATCCCTTCGTCAGCGACAAAAGGCAGCCTGGTTGCGTTGGGTGAACGTTTTGCATTTGTAATGCGTGGGCGTTCTGTGCTGTGCCAGCTACTTGGCGACTTCGTCGAGAAAAGTGGGGTGTACGCTGTATGGATGGGGGTGTCGCTGGCGGATAGTTTAACGAAGGTTTGCTCAGTTGCGCAAAGGACGAGGTGACATCGAAGAAGCCTTCCGGTTGCCTCTGGGTCTTTGGTGACTGTTGTTGCTGTTGCTGCTGGGGCTCTGTCTGTGCCATATCCTTGGGTTGGCACACAGCATTCACATAATGACGAACTGCCGCACTGTACATCGGCGGACTGACCATGGAGTTGTTTGTGATGAAGTCGTGTATGTCCATCTGCAGATTGGGAGGCTGTTGCAGCTGCGGCTTTGCCTTCAATTCAGGCACCTTTGGGCCCACGTCAGTGTTCTCGGCTTCTTTCGGCGGTTCTTCTTTACTTCGTGCCGATGGCAGGGATTTGGTACGGAAACGCCTTCGCCTAACCACGACATTCGGCTCCACTACCGGCAGCCTCGGCTTCTTGGGCGTAGGCGGTGACGATTGCTCTGGACGATTACTCATCGAGGTACCATAGGTGATTACCACTTGCTCTGGCGGCGGTGGCGTCTTTTTGACTTTTTTCTTCGGAGATTTGGTCGGTTTGGCAGCTGGTGCCGAGCCACCGGCTAGTCGCTTGCCTCGTCCATTTGCCGCCACATCCGTCAGCTCGTAGCTCTTCAGCAGGCTGACCTTGCGATTTCGCAACAATTTCGAGTTCAGGTGCGTCGTCGATCGCGTAACTAAATCACGTTCGTTCGGCGTAGTCGCGGTGGTGCCACCGCCGGTGGTTCGGCGACGCTTCGCTGACTTGTCCATCATCTTTTTAAGCATCTTGCGCGACGGCCTGGCCTCTGGCGGCAGATCGGGTTTTCGTTTCTGCTGCAGGCGCTCCGGCGAGGGTGTCGTTGAGGTCCTTGCAGCCGGTTTCGCAGGAGGCGACGGCGACGGCGTGGCATTATTCAAGGACTTCACAATGTAAATGGAAGGCTTGGTTTCGCGCGCCTGCCGCAGACGATTCTGCATGCACTCGTGCAGCTCTTTTTGGGCTGGCGCTGCCGAGGCATACACCTTGGCAAATGCCGCCTCCAAGGACATCGAGTGGTAGTCGCTGGGAGCCAACCCAGAGGTGTCCTGAGGCTGCTGCTGATCATCAGACTGAGGAGGATGGTAGTAGTACTCCACTGGGGCATCCGCCACTACAGACGGCCTTGGGTATATGAATGAGTTCTTTGTTGCCGACGGCATCGAGTTGCTGCTCAGACCCGTCTTTTTGGTGCTTATTGTGATGGCGTTATTGCTGATGGTGCTGCTATTATCGCTGATCAACTGCTGATTAAGGTTTTCATGGTGCTGTTGGCGTTGTTGCTCCTCTAGAAGATTGTGTTGTTGATCGTGCTGTTCATTCTGCTGCTGCTGGACCCGTTGCTGTTGTTGTTGTTGTTGTTGCTGCTGCTGCTGCTGCTGCTGCCTTTCTCGTCGTTTCCCACGAACATCGCTGCGCATCCGGTCCAGTTGCTGTTGTGTGCGCACACGCAGCGAGCGCCGGGCCACAGTGCTGTTGGCCAGCTCCCGCATGGCATTGGCCACAGCATTGGCCGTTGCCAGCTCCGTGAGTCCAAGGTAATTGCAAAACTCGTGCTGCTCATAGAACTGTGCATCATTGTGGAATTCCACACTATTTGCGCGACCTATCACATATTATAGGTTAGAGAAAGAAAGAAAACAAAGAGTAACAGAGTCAGACAGAAAGTCAATGTTAAAGTCAGAAAACGTACCCGAGGAGACGCGTTGTGACTCCTGTTGCTGTTGCATCATTATGTGGCTCTGATCTCGTTCCCTGGCACCCGACAGTGCTCCATCCAGCTGATGCTGTCTAGTTTCCCCTTGGTGATTCTGACTGACAATCGAAGCGTATTCATGGCATTCGTTGTACTCCTGCTGCGCAGTGGTCGGCTCACAATTACCCAGGTCTGTCGTAGATGTTTCTTTTGTGTCCACACGCAACGACAAAAAGTTTTGTGTCCTTGTTGGCTGATCTGATTTGCGTCTCAATTGGGGCACTAATGTGGTCGATGATGGATTAACCATTACCTCATAGCAATCATCGTCGTCATCATCGTCGAGGATAATCAGTTCGGTCTGCTGCACCGGCACCGTGTGCAGTAGGCGTCTGTAGCATGGTCGCTTTTGCCTGACTGCATCGTCGCTGGAGTACGGAGTGTCCGGTCCTACAGTTGCGTCCACCGCATCTTCCACTGGTTGCTCTTCCATGGCTTCCGTCATTTTCAAGAAATTTTGCCGCAAATATTCATGGAATTCGCCAAATGTTTGCTGCTTGGCTGGCTCAGCCTCGTGCTGTTGAAACACAGCCTCAAAATTTTCCACATCCTCGACAGCCTCGCAGTTCTGCGAACAATTCCAGCTGGTCACCTTCTCTTCGAGGCTCAACTGCGGCTGCGACTGGCATATATTGGCAAGCCGGCGATCCATCGCATCCGCGGAGAGCGTGTTCTTTAAGAGAGGCATATACTTCCGCTGCCTGGGCGGAGATTGCTCATCCGCTGTGCCCACATCATCGTCGTAGTCATCATAGTCGCTGCCATTAGGCCTGGACGTGGAGCTTACTGGGAACTCTGTAGTGCTACTGTGTGGTATGTCAGGGGTAGCAGTAACTGTAGCTGCTGTAGCTTGCTGATCCCTATCATCATGCGGCTCCTCAATACTGCTGGAAATGTTGAGCTGCTGCTGTTGTTGCTGCTGATGATGATGTCCCAAGGCAGCATGTTGAAGCTCCAACTCCAAATTGTTCTCCTGCTCATTCACTATACAATCGTCATCGTGGTCCTCCAGCTCGTGGTCGTACACCTCACAGATATCGGGTCGATCGTCCACATAGGAGTCACTCGCCTGATTTGGATCCTCTTCGACTCCATCGAGCAGTAATTGTTGCTGCTGCTGTTCGTGGTGCTGGGCGTGTTGCTGATGTTGGTGCTGTTGATCCAGGGCCGCATCACTGAGATAAACATGGCTTTCCGTATTATGCCCCTCGAACTCCTCGGCCGCACACATATCGTTGCAATAGTTGACGCCATTATTGAGACGCTCCTGCTCGTTTGCTGGCTGCAGACCCAACAGGTAGGCACGCTCCATTTCATGATCCGTATGAACACCGTGGGCAGCCACTATAATCTCGCAGCAATGATCATCCGTTAGCAACACAACATTGTCATCATCATAAATGACGCAGTTGGCGTGCGGCTGCTCAATAACATTTTGGCAATCAAGGGCTACCTGCTCCTGGATCGGCTGATCCGACTCGGCTACATTGATGTTGCCATTTGTAAGCATATAGTTGGCGGATGTGCCTGCCTCCAGCACTCCTATTGGCGTACCTAAAATTTACAAGGGAATGAGATAAGTGCTGGAAAATAGTAGCTCTGTGGCCAACATACTTGTAATCGGGGTGTTAATATAGCCATGATTCGACCGTTGGCATTCAATGAACTTATCCATATTGCGGAACATGCCATATATAAGTGAAGGGTTGCCCCCGTCCTCCGACGTGTCGCTGTAGTCGCGAAGTGTATCCTCGAAGCCTTTGAAGCCATTGCTATCGGAGTTAGCTAACAGGCTGCGTATTTCCGAATCATCCGATATAAACGGTAGCATGTTGTCCCGTGAGGGATCCACCTGCTGAGCATTCTCATTGGATTGTTGCACCAGTGTCGATTCCGCTGAAGTCCGGCCCAAATCCGAATTTGTTGTCATTTCTGCTGTGCCGGAGGTCGGCGGTGAGAAAATGTCAAGCAATCGCTCCTCGGCCGCAGCGTACTCCTTCCGAGAAGCTCCTCCAGTTACTGTTCTCCGCCTGGGCATTTTTGTGTGTTATGAAATTTACTGAGCACCGCCAATTGAGGGAAGCAACCAACACTTCGCCACTAGCTCACGATGCAGCGTTTTAAGCAAAGAAAACGTTTGAGACAATTTTGTAAATAATAGTTTTCGGAATTTAGCACGTGAAATTTAAATAAAATAAGTTAATCGCTCGGTTCTGCCCTCTACACAATGCCGAAATCGAATCTGACATGATGCGCGTAGGTTTGTTTGTTTATTAATTGTAATGCGTACACATACATCTTATATTATTTCATTTTTTCTATAGTCCACTTTATTTCCCTATTTTAAGAACACACGAAAAACAAATTTCTTTGATAGCAACAAATCGCGGCACTTGTCGGTATGTGAAGAAGAAGCATTGCGTATCGTTTATGCGCCGCCCTTTATCGAGACTTTGTATTCACACAAAATTACTAGAATTCTATTATTGGTCAATTTTTATTGCTTTCGACTTGATTTAAACATGTTATTATATTATGTTTGTGAATAATAAAACACAATCAGTAGTTATCAATTATTTAAACATATTTATTTTGTAATCAGTGTTATTGCGAATTAATATTAAGCTCAAAACTTCCCAATTGAGATGTAAACATTTCCTGCGATTGGCATTTATTTTTGGTATTTTATGCGTTTCAGAGATTCGGCCACTCTGGCAACCAGCTGTTAGTTTTGTTTAAGGCAACGTAAATTGAGCAATACGTTTGTAGAGCGACTAGAACATCAAAATTACACGCACTTGAGAAAACCGAGGCGTTCGCGCGCTGATAAGCAAAACAAAAACTAAGTAGCTGCTTCGGGACTGTCGAAATAAAATATTAAACGTACTCACAACTCGACACAAACAACTTTAGGCGCTCGAACTGTGCACGTCGCCTCCGTTTCGTCGTATAATAATCAATGTGCTTTTAGTTCGGTATTTTCAGTGTATATTTAAAATCTATGTACATATATAAATAAATATACATATATATGTATTATTCGTGATTCTGGTTTAGGACAATCTCTAGTCGAAAAGGAAAATTCTAAAATAATTAAATAATAATGAGTGACAAATTAGTGAACGGTACTTGCAGCAGCAACGGCAATGGCAATGGTAACGGCGATGCCAGCAACAAAAAATGCAACGGTACAAGAAAGGAAGTGCGCGTATGGTGCGATGGCTGGTGAGTCAGTTTGTTGATGTCTAAATTACATACATAAAAATGATGTGTACGTAACTATATGACACGACTATCTGTTAAAATATTTTAGGTGCATAGTTGTATAAATATAATAACATACAGTTATATTCAATTTCTATTTCAACGGCATTTGAATTTCTATTGCGTCAATCTTATCAATACGAATAGTTTGTAAATATAGTGCGTCTACAGATCGATTAGCCATTCATTTGAATTAAAATAGGTCCAAGGTCAGAACTAAAAGCGAAACTCGTGTTACTTATTAAGTTCTTCCATACATATTTATACAATCACGACGTAGTATTGCAAATAGGCGAAGCAATAGCCAATAATTTATCTAATTCTCTACAGCGTTCATTGCGTTTGATTATCATTATTATATTCTCCACGCAGCCCGTTTGACCGGTTTCTTCGTCTGTCCTCTGATCGGGCTAGACATATATATAATGATTCTTTGTGATATGCAGTATATAAAAACTTATTACCCTCATACATATAGATATGTATACATATATATGTGTGCATGCCTGTCCGTATGTATATGCAAATGTCAATCAAAAGAGACTTCCGCAACTGCTCTCTTCTGCTTTGACATCCTCTGTCCCTCTCACTTTCTCTCTTTCTCTTTCTCGCATATGCCTTTAGAATAGATGCACACGCCCAAGCATAGCAGCATCGCGTGATTCTCTGTATGTACACAATGCTGCGTACATCTGTGGCACCAGCCACAGTTCAGTTCTTCACACTCGTTAACGTCATCCCCTCGTTTCTGTTTACGTCTCGCACGTTTCTGTCGGACATTACATGGTTTACGTGGCCTTACGTTGACTGTGGGCCGGTCGGCGTCTGCCCAACCATCACGTGATTCTCTCTGCGCGCATGCTCCACGCTCGCCAACTTGGGCGGCCTACTTTTGGTCTGCCGGACGCACGCCATTGACCCAACTTGTAAATCGACGACGTCATTGTCGGCGTATTTATAATTTCCAATACGTATGTACATACGCAGGAGCCAATTTACCCTACACCTGTGTGAAAATGTATACAAATAGTTGTCACTCAGTGTTAAATACAGAATAGAGAGTAAATATTATGTGTACGTTGCAATGAACCTACTTTTATATACATATTTTATATTTTACACTATCGGTAATTTACACTATATA